AAAATCGATTATAATTGATTATAATCCATGATTTTATTCAAATTTCTTTTTCATTAGTTTTGCACAAAAATCCATTATAATCAATTATAATTGATTATAATCCCTTTGTTTGTCCTTTTTTGTCTTTGAAGTTGCATCTAAGTTGGTTATAGCTGATGTTTTTTGTAAAAGTTTTCCAAATAATTCAAATTTATAGTTTTTTTTTTCATTTCTTCTCCATTAGAGTTGTTTTGTGATGCATATTTTGAGCTTTTTAAAACACCAAAACATAAACAAATTGATTTATTTATTTTCATGATTGATTCGGAAAATAAGTTTTTTATCTACCTAGGGAACCTTTCCACTCATATAAAAGGATCTCTATGAAACTTTTTTTCGTGGTAAAACTTTGTGTTCAGATGAACCAAAGTGTTCAAGAGATCTCTCTTTTAGAGATTGTCCTTTTGACACCAAAATAATAACCCATAAGGTATAATTAGGAAAATTTCGGCAAAATAAGAGATTATAATCGATTTGAATCAATTATAATCGATTATATTTGATCTTAACGGTTTTACTAAGGAATATAATCAATTATAATCAATTATAAGAGATTATAATCTCTTGGAAAATATTGCGATTATAATCAATTATAAATCCCTTAAAGACCTAATTTTGGTAATTATAATCAATTATAATTGTCAAAATTTATCATAATAATCCGCTATAATCGATTACCTAACTTGTAATTTATTAACCTGTAATTGATTACATAGTAAATTTGGATGCGGGAATTTTCGTATCGAGAGTCGGAACAAAAACTAATTGTCTCCAAATTCTTATGAGCGACTTATTAAACTACTTAGATAAAGGCTTGAAAACTTGACGCATAGTTTTCCAATAATTCTACTCGGTGACTTAAATTCCTTTAGTGATACTACAAGTAAATACAAAGGACGTTCCGAACGCATAGACGATATCAGAATGCGACGGCACATGGCAACTTACAAAGTTATTTAATCTCTACATCTGTATGATACTGGGACGCTTGCTACAAAGAGAAAGTTTACCAATCCTCACAAACATAAACATGGACAACATTTACTCGCGTCGTACTTTTGAATACTCGGGCTCAGATCACCACAAATTGTCAATACCTCATTTGGGCAATCATACAGGACACGTGGGATAGGAATCGGGAAAATGAGCGATGGTGTCATTGTGGCAAATATTTTTTTTCAATCAAGCAACTTATATTAGAGAATGGTCCGATAAACTCATCAACTGAATTTTAGGCACCCCAAACTACACCTGCAAGAACATCTGAACTTTCTTTCTATTAGCATATCCAGAATAAAAGTGCAACTTGATAAAAACCTTAGCGTCAAGAAAAAACTACTCGAAAGCAAACTCATTGATGCGAGATTAAAAAAAATTGATCGACGAAAAAGATTACACAGAAACCACCACAAATATGCACGACAACCCGGTTTGACCTCCATACAACGAAAATGCTTATCATACAATTCCATACATCAAGCGTGTGGAAAAATGCTTGTCATACAATTTTCATACAATTTCTAAAAATGGTTGAAAACTGGTATAAACTTATTTCTGTGGCTGTTTGATTCTAATAAAAACAGTCTGGTGATAAAAAACTGAGGTTTTCGTTTTTTGAAAAAATGCTTAGCATACAATTCCCATATATGGAAATTGTATGAATGGCATTTTTTTGATGGCGACACAAAAAAAAGTAATTTTGAAAATTTGGCCCAAAAAAATTTTGTTATTTTTTCAACCGCAAATCGAATTTCTCACGCAAACAAACACTTTTCGAAAAAAATTTTTTGCATGCAAAATTTAACATTTTGTGTGCATAAAGTAGTCCTGGATACAATAAAATTGGCTCATATTTTCTTTTTACTTCAAATTTTTTTTCAAAAACGCCGGAAATTCCTATTTTTTTTGTATGGGGTGTTAATGTATGCCTTGATCAATGTCTGATAACTTGAAAATTCAAAAATTCAAAATAAACAGCATTAAAAAGTTTTGCCAAAAAACAAAAGTTTGTTACATTTGTTATAATAATTGTGAAAGACAGCCAAATTCAGGTCGTTTTGTAAACGCATGACCGTCCAACCTTTGGTGTATGAGTAACCAAGGTCTTTGTCGTTTGTGTTCGGTTGGAAACACAACCGAAAATTTTTCAGAAACTTAATTCAGAAAGAAAAAATCAAAATTTTTGGTTTATGGGAAAACACCTATCATACAATTTTCATATATGAAAAAATGCTTATCATAGAGTTTTCATACAATTTTCTGTACGTATGGAATTGTATGAAATTGTATGACAAGAAGTTTCTCATATATGAAAATTGTATGATAAGAAGTTTTGGTCAACCCGGGAACTATATCTAGATATCAATGAAGGTCAATCATCTGCCAAAAGGTCAATCTAACCTGAAAAATTAGAGAAATCCTCTAGCAAAACGAACATTATTGCCTCAAAAAAAATGAAGCAGGGATGATAAACAGCGATGAGGATAAAATACTTCAATTTTTCACAAAAAAAAATTCTCACAACTCTTCAAAAAGTGAAGCAAAAAATCGACCAGAAGTTAAATTATTTGCAAAATTTTTTTCTAGCAGTTATGTTGAAAACCAAAATTTAGGAAAATAGCAAAATCATTAATGAACCATTCGCAAAAACGGAATTAGTAAAGCAATATACAAGTTTCTCATAATTTCACTGATGAACACAGACCAGAAAATACTTTCTCATCTAATTGCCACACTGTTGTTCCCAATATTAGACAAAATTCTTGGTCCACATCATAAAGCTTACCAACCGAAACTAAAAATACATACCGCAACACTCAATGCTCGACTTCGACTGCCATCGATCAAAAGGAGCTCATCTGCAGTTTCAATTGACTTTATCAAAGCATTGAACAAAATCAACGGTTTTTTTACATTCTCAATCAACTCAGAGTTCCGGGAGAGTTCGTTTCAATCTTGAGACTAACCTGCTGCAAAACAACATCATTGATAGAATGTCAACCAAAATTGAGAAAGGAGTCCAACAAGGATGCCGATGTCAGCCTTCTTGTTCATTTTAGGAATGGAACAGCTTCTGACCCTAATACAAGGAAGCAAACGTAATTGCTCAACCACTTTTGGAAATGTTCAGCATATAGCGGAGTTTTGACGGAGAACTAGACGATACTAACAGAAGCATAAAGACAAATCACAGTCTGAACTAAAAACATTAGTTTTGAACCTCAAAAGTGCGCTAAGAAAGTACCTCAACAATCTAAGGAAACACAAAAATGCATCATCGTGTAAACTCAACAACTATGCAACTAAACTAGCCGTTACCAACGAAATAACATTAAGGCGAATATACAAACCTCTAGTCAGCTCGAAATTCCCTGAAACGTTTTTCAAAAAAAAAAGTAATTTTTCAAGATAACATCTATGATCCTAATCGCCAATTTTACAGAATATCGCTAGAAAACTTTGTAAATCTTTCTTCTTACCTTTTTTAAACCTTTGTTAGAAAACCCCGTTGTTTTTTTGAAAAAAATAATTTCTACCGGCTGATATTCCGCTTATATTTTTTAGAAATACCGCCTATTCTCTTCCATTGTCCGGGCACCAAGTAGCGAAGAAAAAATTCCTAATGAATAACCGAGAACGCCAGTTTTGAGAATGGAACTGCATGATTGTTTAGTCAGTGGATGCCAAGGATTTTATGACAGTATTCAATATTGAAAACCCTAAAAATTTTTGAAAGCTCAATACATTTCAAAATGCTACTCTTCAAAATGCTACTTTTCAAACTACATTAGTTCTTATGATAATTTATTACGTCTGCTATAAAAAACATCAAAACTGAAAGGAATTAGCTATACGAATCAATACAATTTATTTGAACCTACCCTGAGAACTAAAATAAACAGGTTTCTATAAAAGTTTTTTTTCGTGGTAAAATTTTGTGTTCAGCTAAACTTAAGTGTGACAAGGCATCTCACTTTAGAGATATTGTTATTAACAGAAAAACAAAAACCTCTAGATTATAATTCAATTATGCTTTGGGTGTGACAAGATTTTTGCAAAATAAGAGATAATTCTCAATAAATAATCGATTATAATTAATTTGAAGAATTTTTTGTATGAATTTTATTCATTTTTAATCAACTATAATCGATTATAAAAGATTATAATCTTATGAAAATATCACGATTATAGTCGATTAAAAATCCTATAAACACTTAAACACCTAAACACCATAACTACATAAAAATCCGTTATGATCGATTACTTACGCTTAAACTTGGATGCGGGATGTAAAGGTTGTGTGAAAATACAAGCTGCCAATTATTGGGTAAAAAATTTTAACTAACTACATTTTATACACAGAAGCGAATTGGAGCTTTGAACCACATGCGATACAATTGAATCATAAAAGAAGCAAAAATGAGTCGAAAAAATAAAAAATATGTTTAAAAAATAGGTGAATCAAAATTTACGTATGTCTCGATGAAGGAGAAATAATTCTCAGCTAAAGCTGGAGGTAAGGTTTTTGTTATTTTTGAACTTGTTATTCTGATGCGGGACAAAAGGTGTAATTTCAAAAATAAGACATTGTCCAAAACCTTAGGACCCTTTTCATTATGAACCAAGACACAAGTGATTCAATTGATTCTGTTAAACAAGTTGTTAACTAATAAAAATATATAATTTCTAGTTTGATAACGTCCAGCAATTTACATCAATGTTTTAAAAGTTTGAAGAAATATTTAATCAAGTGGTTCGAGTGTTTTTAACTTCATTCTATTTAGAGTTGCGTTAAATTGTCCAATAAGTTTTTTTTATGTTCAAAGCATAACAAAATGTTGAATTTTTTCACCACGAAAACGTTCAGCAAGCATTACAACTCACTGGCGGCTAATATAACTGGTATTTGAAACGAACGTGAGCAATCTAATCAGCAGCTAATTGATGCAGTACTCACTAACCTGCTGGATCAAAAAGCTTAAGGATAGAGCGGAAATCCCAGTTCGGGAATACGGCCCATCGTTCTTCTGGGGCTGCGGAATATGTTTCTGGGTGTGTTTTTTGTCCATTTGAACTCAAACAGAAGTTTCTGAGTGTCGGATGGAAGAAACTGTTTCGGTAGTGGATGTCAGTTGTAAACACTGGAACCACTTTTGGGAAAATGTTGTCAAAAATCGAACTGTTTCCAATTTCGCCATTGTGTTTGTCCAACTGCCTGACCAGATCTAAACAAAATTATTGCAATGAAGGTGAAGTTCTGATCCTTTGGTATATGCTTTGCTTGAAGGCAACTAAAACTACAGATATGAGCGCCGGCACTGTGTCACCAATACACAAAATCCTTTTTTCCTATCGATGCTGACCTAAATGAAGTCCAGATAAACAAGTTTCTCATAAATTTCACATTTTAGTTAATATAGTAGTTAAATAATCAGAATAAAAAACGGTGGGAGGCAGCAGGAAACTGTTGACTCACCTTCTTTGTCTGTTGACTTTACATTTGCTTCGCCGTATTCACTCAAATCAATGTCAATCTCCAGAACCATTTTATCAGAACTGCTTTCACTCATCAAGACCTGATCAGTTGCCATCACTCTCACGCCTGGAACATCTACTAAATCTTACGCAATTTGAGTTTTGGTTCTCGTTTAGAAGTGTGGTCCCGCCAGACCACTTGAAATATGCTTGAAGTACTTCAAATGGATGAAAATAAAAGGAAAACTTGTTATCAATTCTTCTTTAGATTTGCCACTAACGTTTTTTTCTAAATGGAACTATCAAAATTATTAATTCACTGGCAAAACCTAGAAACTACCTGTAAAATCTTTCATGTCTGACAATTATTTGGGACCAGTGGTAGATTTACGGGACCATACTTCTAAGCCAGGTTTTTAACAGGACCATACTTCTACGAGTACCTGAGTTTTTGATACAATTGTACTTACTTGGTAATAACGTAGTACCCGTACCGAGAAAATTCTTTATCTTTTACTTGAAATACGTTGTATCTAATCTAATTTCTGGGCAGAAATTCTTTGCGAAATGTTTAAATAAAGCATGGATTTAATAAAATTCTTTATTTCGAATCCTAATTCTGATCAGAAGTTAGCTAAATCTAGGCTAATTCTAGCTAGGAAAATCCTCCTGGCTCCTCGAACCCCAAACCTTCTGGTTGCTTGACATCTTCTTTATCCACTAGGCTACAGGCCTTGCTGTAGGTGCGTAGTTTTAGCGGTGTAACAGTTGTTAAAACAAGTGTAAGTTTGCATTGTATTGCTACTGTTATTTTACATAGTCGAAGCATGT